AGTATTTTAAGAGGAGGATGAAGTAGTAGGGCTACAATACTTAGCTTCTTGACCAAATTCATAGGACAGACTTCCATGCTTTACTTTAGAAAGTAAATCTGAATGCCACACGTGGAATACACACTCAGGTTAGGAACTGAAAAATGTTCCTGCCCTTGTGCAGATAAATTGTGTCCCACTTGCTTAGCTGTAGTGGGGACAACATCCTCAGTCATTCTCTCTACCAGAGACTTTTTAGGATTGTGTAGAGCAGAGAGGCACCTAAACTTTTTACTGCACAAGACAAATATAACTAGTTCTGTTGAAGCAAGTTTAGCCTGAAACTTCTCTCAGCTGTAGATCTAAGGCTTGCATGGCAGTGTATCTCCTTACAGTTTTTGGATGTGCTTTTGTAAAAACAATTTTTTGAGAATTGGGAATTAAGTACATTTTTGTTTGTTTCCAAAGAAAACAAATCAAGAATCCTTTTGTCACATGTTTGGCCACTCCCTGACACTGGAGACCTAAGTTTTCAAATCCTTATTCAATTTACTCTACATTCCACCCCCCAGTCCCTTTTCAATCTAACAGTCTGAAAGATTTTACCCAAATGTTTGGGGTACTCAGTCTCTAAACAAAAAGACTTGAGACAGGGGTACTAAATGTTGCAATCAAAGGGACTGTTCTAGGAAAGGAAGTTTCACAAATTATGTAACTTGACCCTTCTAACCCTTCCCTTCACAGCTTTTTGACTAGTAAAACTCATGTTTGTGTGCTATAAAGCTGTGACTATGAGCAACAGTGCTTTTCCAGATAGCTAAGCTAATCCTCCTTTATGAAGTGTTGCTGGGCTTGCCCTTGTTGCTGTCACAACAGTGAAGTCCATAGTTGTGGAGGCTTCAAGCTGCTTTGGCCCTTCCCTTCACAGCTTTTTGACTAGTAAAACTCATGTTTGTGTGCTATAAAGCTGTGACTATGAGCAACAGTGCTTTTCTAGATAGCTAAGCTAATCCTCCTTTATGAAGTGTTGCTGGGCTTGCCCTTGTTGCTGTCACAACAGTGAAGTCCATAGTTGTGAAGGCTTCAAGCTTCTTTGGCAAAGCAGTGGTATGTGCAGATGTTGCCTGCAGCATGGATATGGCTAATACCAAAGTGCAATCCAGGCAGGGTATCTTCTGAGCAAGGTACCTCAGCTGCTGGAAGGGGGTCAACGTGGCCAGGAGATCAAAGCAGCTTCACACCACAACTTGGTGGTGGTATCTGTCCTTAACTTGGCACAGCACTTGCAGCTTGGATATACACACAGGTGTTGAGATGTCTTCTTAGCTAAACTACTAGCTGACTCTTCTGCTCAATGGAAAGGCTGTTAGCTTTGAAAACAGGCGTTCAGGCATATTGTGACAACTGCTTTTGCAGCCCAGCTCTGGATACAGGATTTCAGGAACCTGGTGAGTCAAAACTTGACAATTTCAAGTTTATTAAAATGGAGAATGGGAGGAGTTAGTTGAGCAGCACTATTACTGTTAATTTGCTCTTATAGATCTTTCCTTGAAGTGAAGTTAAGAATACTTGGTGATGGAGGCACAAGCCCAACATGTAGGGAGCTATCTGGACTTGAAACTGTTGCAAGTAGAAATGGCAGGTGCTATCCCAGGATGAGACTACTTGTGGGAATAAGAATGGCTATGGGCTTTTTAGTTTCCTTTATAATGCCTGATTTGTTTTTTCACCATCCTTAATCCTTGTTCCCCAAGACAAAGTATTGAGACTTAATCCTTTATATCAGAATCAGTTGTGGTCAAATTCCCACCCTCTCTTGCCAGAACCTTGTGCACTGGGGCTTATTCAGAGCTGCTTGTACCTTACTCTAAAAGGCAAACCTGATTTCCTCATGTCTTAAACACACTCTATCACGGTTATTGCTCACTCGTCAGTGAAAACCTCTTATACTATTAAAAACCACACACTAGTTTATTGCAGAACAGCTGTGAGATGGAGCTATGGTAAAGCTTCTGATTTCTAATGATGCTCAAACAGTTTTTTTTGGACCCTGACCCCTGCTGTGTAGTTACAAGCAATAAATCTAAAGGATCTAGTTTCAAGGGAAATGGATAACCACATGAAACACTGAGGTCTGAGAAAGAAGAAATTGCAGTGTGACAATATGAATCACTCTTGAGTGATGGAGATTTTTTTAAAAAGGGTTTTTGAGTTGCATCCTGATTTCATTAATCTTCTACCTCTTTTGAGGCAGGCCTCACTGTTTTCTGTTCCTTATGCCTCCATTATTTTTGGTATCCTTTTGACATCTCCTTCATCCTTGCTGCGTGCTTGCTGTAGGTTTTCAGTGCCCCACAAAAGTGACAGTAGTGGTATTAGTGCTTGAGGCAGAAGTGGAGTAGTGTTGTGAGCTTGGGAAAGGGGTTGGTAGGTGGAGAGAGGGGTTACTTGTGGGATTAGTGCTGCTGAGCCACTGATACCTAGTTCAAGGAGATGTTTAAGCAAGAAGAAACTCTAGTGCTTGTCCTTGAGTATTCTATCTCTCTGCCACACTTGCTCTTTCCTTGCATCCTGCTGGTGGCTTCAGTTCCTGGCTGGCACACCACCATCCTTCATTGCCCATGCTTAAATCTTGCTCTAATACATAGCCTGTTTTGCAGAGTGACTAGATCACCAACACTAAGTAAGGAAGGCCATTTGGCTACAGCCTTGGGAACAGACTGAATGCTAAAAGGTTCTTACTTCATCAGGGCCTATTTTATTGCTCAGCCTCAAAGCTGTTTTTCTTTCTCACAGCTTTATCAGGTTATCTAACAAGATATCTATGCAAAATATCCTTGCTTGTGCTATCATGTTAATAGGAAGACTCAATATTAACTTTGTTTATAGCTTAAATGGTGAGTTGCTCTTACACTTCATATGGTTTGCTGTTTAACCAGTCCTATGCTGTTACCTTCTTGTAATTTTCACACTAACCCGAGTGCAAAAGTGGGTTACCAGAGATGTTTGTTACACTAAACTCACTTACTGAGGTGGTACTTAAAGGGATTGGGAGGAGAGAAATTCAGCTTTTGCTTCCTGGTGTTAGCTTATGAAGTATGTTTGCAGCTGGCTAAGAAGCAGTCAAGGTGATAGTTCTTTTGATAGTGACCAAGGTTGAGTCACAGCACATACATAGACTGTACAAGGTGCAGAAGATAGTGTCTGGCTGCCTCAAACTATTTCTGCAACAGAATTCAAAAGTATGAATTGGTGTTTAACAGACAAAATATCTCATTTTCTTTCAGGGAAAGAATGTACCCAAGATGAAAGCACGGCTGCAGCAATCTTTGCTGTGCAGATGGACGACTACTTAGGAGGAAAGCCTGTTCAGAGTAGAGAAATTCAAGGATATGAGTCCACTGAGTTTGTAGGATATTTCAAAGGAGGAATTAAGTACAAGGTAAAGAGGCAGCTGAGAAAATGCACTCTTAAAATATTTAACACTGTCTCCCAAGGTAGAAACAAATCTTTAATGGACTTGAAAAACTGCTTTGTCTGCTAATGAATATTTAAGAAATTGTTTCTTAATGCATAGTGGCATTAGATCAGTGCTAAACTGAGCTCAATACTTGCAGAGTACATTAGTGTGTTTACCAGCCTCTGCTGATATCTGGCCCAGAAGCTTCCCCAAAATGAAGCTACCCTGAGAACATTCTTGTCGCTAAGGGAGCTCACCATTGGGACTCCTTCTGTTTAGGAGATGATAAGTATCAAAGAAGCATTTCCTGTGCAGTGGGCTGGATTACTTTGTTCAAATCCAGAATCAAATAAGCTTAAAGTGTTACAGGCATGAAGCAAAGAGGCAGACACACCTTGTTTTGGTTTTAAAAAAATATATACTGTGCTTTATGGAAGAACTCTTCCAGGACTAGGCAGTTATCTTTAGTTTTGAGATAATTAACAAAAATCAAAACTGCAAATACTTTTCAGAAAAACCTTTTATATTTTAGGAAGCTGACATTCAGTCAGTTCTAATGTCAGCCTCCTTGCTGTGCTACTCCAGAGCAGTAACTTTAGAAAGGAACATCTGAACCATCTAGGCTATTGAAAGAATAAAGTAATATATTTTCTGAGAAATAAAAATATTATAGACATTCCTCTGTGGCTATGAACTCCAATGACTGTAGGTTGCTTCAACTTAATAGATGCTCTAAGATGTCATCAGTTACTGTTTTTTATTTGTTATATGAAGTTTTTAACCTGTCTAAACAATCCAACTGAGGCTTTTAGCCTTCAGGATTGGAAGTAAGAGGTCTTGACTGACCTGTCTTCTCCTTCTCTCCCCACCCCTCCTAATTTAAGGGGTGTTGGCTGTTTCAACCAGGGTCTGCATATCCTGGAGGAGTTAAGAATACTGCCTCACAGGAGCTTGTAGCCCACTGAGTTTACAAGAGTAAGATAGACTTAAATTTATAGCTGTTAATCTGTTTCATTTCTTCACCTGTTTTGGTGTTCTTGGCTTGGTTGACTATAAGCAGCAAAAATTTCATAAAACTTTGAACTGCTGTGGAATAACTTTTCCCTTTAGTTATAACCAGATATTTAAACCACTCAAACTTCTGAGATTTAGGAAGTTGAGAAAATCCATCTAGGAATTGCAAATCATTTTTTTTTCTTTACATGAGTCCCTATTCATTAACCAACTCAGTTTTGTCCTAGCGGTGCATTTCAGCATTCTTAACCTTAGGACAGTGCAGGGGGGAATACAACAAATACCATATTTTTTGCTTTCTCACTCACCCCCTGCTAAAAAAAAACTTAAAAGCAGGGTGTTGTCTGATAAATGTTCACAGCGTGAGAGAGTTCTGCTGCAGAAGCTTTCAGCATGTCTGATCTGATATGTGGTCAATGTTGTTAAAACCATATACAATTCTGGTTCATCACTTGCTGCATGACTTCCTTTTTTTCTTTCTCTAGATAGTTTCTCAGCAGACGGTAAACTTGCAGAAAGCAGACCGAAAAGTTTAGTAAAGTTTGCTTCTTTCTCTTTATTCAGACAGGGGGTGTTGCCTCTGGATTTAAGCATGTTATTACTAATGATCTGAGTGCCCGGAGACTTCTGCATATCAAGGGCCGGAGAGTAGTCCGAGCCACAGAAGTTCCCCTTGCTTGGACCAGCTTCAACAAAGGAGACTGTTTCATTATCGACCTTGGACCTGTAAGTCTTTCACAGAGAAATAAGTGCTGAAAAGTAAGAGCTATAGCATCTTTTCTAAGGCTTAAATTGTGCCTTAAAATATACAACTGACTTGTCACTTGCCCAAATCAACTGAAACACTCTCCTTCAGAAATTAGTTTTATTGCCACATGTGGTAAGTTCAAAGTTGCCCTCAAGTTTAAAAACACACATTCTGCATTAGGAAACAACTGATCCACACTAAAGTCATTAACTATTTTACCACTGTGTTGATGAGAGAATGATTTTATTCCTCTAAGCCTTCACATGAAGTTCACATGAAGTGCTTTCTGACTTTAGTGCTACCCACAAATGGAATGGGCTAAAGATTTGATAAGGTTCAGAACTGGATGCAAATTGGACTTTTGTGAATGCTCAGTATTAAAAAGTGAAAATTGTTTACATGTAAGACTAGCTGCCATTGCTACCTTAACTTCTACACTTCAAAAGGAAGGAATTGGATCATTAAAGATTTTGGAGAATTCCCTAGAACACCGAAAAACTTGTTCTGTACTCATGTTATAAATCTGACTTTCTCTGAAACACTTTCCCTAGTGTGGCACATGGATTGTGAAGGTCTAGGCATTCTCAGAGTAGGGCCAATTCCTAATCTGCATGCAAGTAGTTTTTGGTCTGTCGTTATGGCTTCTTCTCTTACCTGCTTAGGGGAAGATATTGGTATTGGGCAGCTATACTGTCTGACAGACTTTCTTCATGCTCAGGAATCCTTGGACTAGAAAATAATACTTGTTAACACTATTACAAAATGGTTGAGGTTGGAAGGGACCTCCAGAGATCTAGTCCAACCCCCCTGCTCAAGCTGGGATACCTAGAGCATGTGGCATGGGGTCACATCCAGGCGAGTATGGAAGATCTCCAGAGAAGGAGACTCCACAGCCTCTCTGGGCAGCCTGTTCCAGTGCTCTGTCATCCTCACAATAAAGAACTTCTTCCTCACATGGAGGTGGAACTTCCAGTGTTTTTAATTTATGCCCATTATCCCTTGTCTGCTCACTGGGCACTACTGAGAAGAGTTTGGCCCCATCTTCTTTACATTCTCCCCTCAGGTATTTGTACACATTACGATCCCTTCTCAGCCTTCTGCAGGCTAAGTCTTTCCTCATAAGATAGATGGCCAGTCCCTTAATCATCGTTGTTGCTCTATGTTGGACGCTTTCTAGATGTTTCATGCTCCTTGTACTGGGGAGCCTGGAACTTCACACAATACTCCAGGTGCAGCCCCACTAGAGCTGAGTAGAGGGGCAGGATTCTCTCCCTCAGTGTGCTGGCAACACTCCTCCTGATACAGGCCAGGATCCCATTGGCCTTCTTGGCCATGAGGGCACATCGCTGACTCAGGGTTGTTCTTCCCCAGGTGCAGGACCCTGCACTTTTTGCTGAACCTCATGAGGTTCCTCTCTGCCCAACTCTCTGACCTGTCTAGGTCCCTCTGAAGGGCAGCACAGCCCTCTGGAGTGCTGGCCACTCCTCCCAATTTGGACAAGGGGACAGAGTGCATCCTCAGCAAGTTTGCAGATGATACCAAGCCATTCATGTCCAGGTTGAGCAGCACTGGGCCCAGTACTGACTCCTGGGGGACACCGCTGGCTGCAGGCCTCCAACTAGACTTGGTATAATCTAACACAACTCTCTCCTAACATCATTCAGATCCTCCTGATGTGTGTGCTCTGACCAGCTGAAACAGCTAAGGAATCAATAGCCAAATCATTATTTCTATGTATCATTAATAAAAATCACATTTAGACTTTCTGTGTGTACCCATTCCCTATGGATAACTTCTGGAGGTAGGTGTATATAGTGACTTCCACTTCCCCTGGCACTTACTGACTTCTTGTTTTTGGTAAAGTCAATGCCCTATGACTAGTTGGTGGTATTACATGTATGTCTGGGTCTGGGGGTTCATTCTTTTTGGTGCAGGCTATATGAAGACAGTGTTGTCATTAAGCAATTTAAATGTAACAACAGATTAGTTTTTGACTTCTAATAATGTACATTGTGAACTTTTTTTAGTGTAACTGACTCTGGCTTCTAATTTTTTGCTTGATGAAACAGATTAAGCAGTGATCTCTGGAGATCTTCAAAACCTGCTTGGATGCAGTCCTGTGCCACGTGCTCTAGGTGACCCTGTGTCTGCCAGGGAGTTGGACTAGATGACCTCTAGAGGTCCCTTCCAACCTTAAGCATCCTATGATTCTATGTAGTTCTTTAAGAAGAAAGATTAGATGGGAGCAGCATCTGTATCTCTTTACTGTACACTGTGCTACAGGGAGTGTGGGTCAAATCACATGACAAGTTTTTTTTGGACTTGCTTTACTGGTATTGAGGGATGGATTTTTCTTGGATATGTAAGCATGTTTAGGGCAGAGAACTGTTTCAAAATTGAGAAATTTGTAGTGATTTTTATCTACCTTTGCTTTGTAAAAATAAATTCCCTTTCCTGAAAGCTGAAAATATTTCAGGATGAATATGTGTAACTTTAGCTGAAGTGTCAGATGCTTGCTCAGGTTTACCCTGTGACACCATCTTCTGAAAACTTCAGTTTTCTGAGATTTTTAGATTGAAATTTTCCATGACAAGGAAGACATTAAAGGGCATCTTAGTCAAATGTAGAATGGTTCTTAAAAATAAGGATTTTTAGCTCGATGAATGATTTTACTCTAGCCAAAATAAAATGAATCTTGAGTAGGGTTGCTCTGAGCCTTGGGATTTATCATAGGGCACAACTGAACCATCAGCTGAAAATAATGGACAGTAATGGCATGAAATAATGAGCTTATGGCTGGAACTTTTAATATCTAATTATCACAGCTTGTCAAGAAAGATGAATTTCAAAGTACTTTTCCCAGTCCCTTAGATAACCAGAGCAATGGTCTCTGTTGCACTATAAAACTGCTTGCACAGCCCATTTCCTGCTAACTTCATCAGACAAGTCATCTAATATAATAAGAAATCATTTATTTTCTCATTGAGCTCAATTACTTGAGTACTTTAAACCTGTGGTCTGAACAGATAAGGAATACCTTTAAAAAGCTAATAGTCAGGCACAAAACAATGATTGGCCACTAACACTTTTCTGGATGGTGATAATTACCTAAGTATGAATGTTCTTGTGTGTATTTCCAGTTAGCCTCAGATCATTCAGGTTCTATGTTTACCTCTTAGCAGCTATGTTGTTTACAAAGCCAAACAGCATTTTAAGCATCCTGCCCAGATCTTATCAAAAGGCTTGCCTACTTTGAACTTCCAAGGCTGGAGTAGAAAATAGTTGCAAAGAGAGAAGACATTAGCCCTTGAGTGCCTAGCTGAGTCACTTGCTGTCGGAAATGTGTAAAGATGTCTATCCAAACAGTCGTTTGAAAGCATGTGATATGAGCACTGCGACCAGCGCAATTTCCACATTTCAGTGCAATGAGTGATTCATGAGGATGTCTGCAGTGCCAGACACTGTTTGGTTGTGTGTTTTTGGTTTTCCCCTCTCCTCAGCAAGGGACTTGCATTCCACCTCTGCATTTGAATCTGGGAGCCCCTTTATGGGACACTTTAGGGACAGAGCAGGCAACCACAGTACAAAGCAGTTGCTGGGAAGGCTTTGTACAAGACACTTGAGCCCTCCCAGAAATCACGGCCTCCTGCCATACTGCTGATCCCAACCTTTTGGCTGGAACTAAGTTCACTGAAGGGTGCCAAGCACTCCCTTGTCTCACCTGGAGACACCAGGGCTTGCCTGGCATTTCTTTGCTATGTGGATTCTTTGGCTCTGTCCTGTGCTGTCCCCTGTGGCTCTGGAGGATTAGTGATACAGAAGTAACTATGTCCAGTCACCTTCCTCTTTTTCCTCAACCATCAAGGCAAATTTAATTGAACATGGAGCAGTGGAACACAAACTTCATGGAACATGAATGTTCACATTCACAAAATTGTGAATATTGAAGGATGCTAGGAGTGACTGGAAGATTTAGCCCATGGGAGAAAGGCTGATATTCAAAACATATGGCAGGAGCAATGGGAGCAGAAGTATAATAAAAGTGCTTGCTGAGTGTTCAACTGAATTTGAAAGTTCTTCAAGTCAGATTGAAAAAATCCTCTGCAGCAGGAAAGCCATGTAAAGTTACATCCTTGTTGACCTGTAAAAAAAAAACCAATATGCTCTAGGCAGTTGTTCAGATAGAATTAAACCTTATACTTCACGTATTTCTATCTGATTGTTGCCTTGAGGTGAGGTAGCAACAATGCTACTAGCCAAGAGACTGCAAAGGGCAGGAAGAGGGCTGCATATCACCTAACCACTGTAAGAAAAGGGAGATATAGTCACTAAAAATGTGTAGCATGTGTGATAAATGCTTGGGCCTGACCTATCAAAAGAGCATGCAAGCATAGTTGCACCAGGGGAGGTCCAGACTAGATATTAGGAAACACTTCTACAGAGAAAGAGTAGCCAAGCATTGGAACAGGCTACACAAGGAAGTAGTAGAGTCACTGTCCCTGCCAGTGCTCAAGAAATGTGCAGATGAGGTGCTTAGGGACATGGTTTAACAGGTATAGTGTTCAGGGGCTTACAGTTGAACTCAGTCTTGGAGATCTTTTCTAATCTTAATGATTCTGTGATAGTTCAGGTAAACCTTACTCCTGTTCTCAAGGGAAGTGGCTGTCCAAAATGACAGGCTAGCTTGTAACTATGCCAAAAGTTAAGCGGACAATGAAGGCAAATGGCACTTGGTTGTTCATCCTTCTCATTTCAAGATTGGTGCTTCTAAACTATAGTCTTTAAGCAGTTAAGAGGCTGCTGGATTGAGGTTTAAGTGCATGAGAAGTGTTAAGAAAATCCATTTGCTGTGCTTATACAGTAATAGGCATACATGATTTTTTCAAAGGTTTCATAGATAAGAGGTGAAAATCATGGTATCAGAAGGCCGAGGCATGGGACTGAGTAAAGGCCATGTATTAGGTGGTGTTTTCCTACT